CCCATTGAGGGTCAATGGAAGTCAAGAGGAAAGTTCCCCACTGATTTGAGTGAAAGCCAGCACAAAGGAAGTAGTTTGTGATTGATGCAGGACAATTATTCTCAGTTCAAGGCAATTGCTGCTGGAGTACCTCAAGATTCTGCTCACATGTAGGCTTCAAAATTTGTTATCGACATATTCTTCTGCCATCTACACTGGCACTTATCTTTGCCGTGTGCCTGTTGTCTGTCTTATCATACATATTGGCAGCTGACTTTGAACATGTTTAACTACAATTGCTCCAACAAAGATGCAGTATGTGAGCCACTACTTCATGTTCATTGCTAGAAAAGGTTATCAGAGCTGAATTATCTGATAATCTTGAAAGACCCAGGACTATTAGGATATCACACTCTGCCTACTGGAAAATGACAGCCAACTTGATTGATAGTTTTATTGGGGGCTTCAAAGTTGCTGTATATGTTCAGGCTTACAAAGAACCTTTGATAGACTTCTGCACAAATGGCCTCAAAAGATGGTTGGATCTTGGAGATCAGCAGGTATCAGATAAAGAATTGGTTGCATTTGTTTCATTCCCATCTTCAAATTGAGAACATCCTCATAGTGCTTTGCAACACGATCGCCATGCTCAAAGGGACAGATATTTAATAGACACAGCAACTCCAAATTGGACATGTCAGGCTATGTATGCCATCACCATTGTATCCAACCACTATCTGTACCTTCATTGTCTGGCCTATTCTCCACTCTACCATCAAGCTAGGAGATTAACATTGACTTATTGAACAGTGAATTTTAGGGGCAGCACTGGATGTAATCAAAAATGAGGTATTTGTAGTGATTGTAATGACATCAGTTAGGTGGGCCTCATGGAATATGAGTACCCTGATTGGGGCTGTGAATCTGGTCCACAAAGGGAGCCCTGGCTGACACATCAATTTAAATGTCATTGTAGCTTTATTTTCCTGCTTCATGTTTCCACAGGTAATTAAGCTTCTTTGCCTGCTGCTCCTTAAACTCTATGAAATTTAATGTGTCATGAGATTGTTGCAAAAGTGAATCCTATATAAGGATATAAAATCAGCACAATTAAGCATAAGAGAAGCAGTGTCCTTGCCTTGCTCAAGCCTTGGACTAGCCACATTTAGAATACTGTGTTCTAGTTTACTGCTATAACATAATGGTAAGATTAACAATTGCTCAACCATAAGCATTCATTATTGAATTAAGTTTATTTCAATCATCCCAAAAGAGGGAAACAGACACTATAGTTCTATTGCTAAATTCTCAAGCACTATTAAGCACGGTTAATAAATGCTCGCCTAATCAACAATAGAATAGAATAGAATAGCCTTTATTTTCACATGCACTTGAATGAGAGCAGTGAAAAGTCTGTAATGTCACCTCTCGGCGCCATCTTAGGTACAGGGACTCGCTTCTGGGACTTGCCTCCAAGGTCAGCCTAGGCTTGGCCAGTTCCCCCTCCGGGCTCTGGCAGCGACTTGCTTCCTGTGCTGGCCTGCTCCATTCTCCATTCTCTCCAGGTAGGGTAGTTTAAAGAGTTAAAAGTTGGGGGAGGGGTGGGGAAAGAAAGAAAAACTGCAGCAAAAGGGAAGAAAGAAAGAAGAGAGGAAAAGGAACTGGTGAGCAGACGAGCTCCAGCTGTCCTACTCTGTCGCCATCTTGAATGATGCTCATATCTCAAGAAAGAAAACAGAATAATGACTCTGAACTCCAAAATGGCTGATATAATGGCCCACCTGCACATGAGCAGAGGAGTCAGTGAAGTTAGCTGGCTATGACAGGCTGTCACCAAGTTCCGTGTGTAATGACATCAGCATTAGCTTTGAATGAGAGTCCTTAAAATCGTACCATCATATACTTAAAATGGCTGCCTAAAGGATGAAGCTAATAATCATAATCAGTCTGAAGGTGGAATTATTGACAGTAGACCCTTATGGATTATTTACTTAATATGTTATGTTCTGCGTTTTCAGATTATAGTTTAATTTCTTTTATTTGATCACAGAATGAGGCCATCCCTGGGCCAGTATTTCTTGCCCAACCCTAATCACCCAGAGGGTAGTTTCAGCCATATTGCTGTGGATCTGTAGCCACATGTAGCCCAGACCAGGTAAGGACGACGGTTTTCCTTCCCTAAATGACATTAGTGGTCCAGATGCAATCTTCCAAAAATCAACATTGGTTTCATGGCCACCATTAGACTCCTAATTCCAGATTTTTATCAAATTTAAATTCCGCCATCTGCCATGGCGGGATTCAAACCCCAGAACATTACCTGGGTCTCTGGATTAATAGTGTCACAACAATACTGTTAAGCTATTGTCTCCCTTAAATGTCTAATTGGCTGATGTAACCAGAATTGGTGTAACTCTTCTTTTAACATTTTCCAAACAATCTGTTCAGCAAAGTTATTACCTACCTCTGGAGCAGGTGAGTCTTAAACCAACGTCTCCAGGCCCAGAGCTAGGGACACTACCACTGAGCCACCAGGCGCCTTAGCATAATGCTTCTTGAAGGGAATAGATTGCCTTCTGCTGTGTGACATTTTGTTGTGCTTCAGCCTTGTGTAACTGCAGGATTGTTTCTATATTAAAGGCAAATTCTGTGGATGCTGGAAATCCACACAAACATAGAAATAGCTGGAGAAACTCAGCTGATCTGGCCACACCTGTGGAGAGGGAAACAGAGTTAATGTTTTGAGTCAATTCCGACTTTTTAAAAATATTTATTCACAGGATAAGGGCGTTTATTGCCCATCGCTAATTGGTCAGAGGGCAGTTAAGAGTCAACCACATTGCTGTGGGTCTAGAGTCACATGGAGGCCAGACCAGGTCAGGATGGCAATTTCTTTCCATAAAAGACATTAGTGAATAGGCTGGGTTTTTTCCCCAGCAATCAACAATAGATTCATGGTTACTAACAGACTCTTAACTCCAGCTTTTTATTGAATTCCAATTCCATCATCTGCCATGGCAGGAATCAAACCTGGGTCCCCAGAACATCACCTGGGTCTCTAGATTAACAAGCCAGTGATAATACCACTAGGCTGTTACTTCTCCATGTTCAGAACTGGATGAATAGTGAATGTACTGAATCTCCTCACACTAACACCCATCGTCACAAATATATTCTTGTCACCTCAGTGGTTGCTGGGAATGACCAACATCTGACCTTCTGACCAACACTGAAGTTTCATGCCTTATGTATTATGAGTTGTTCACTTTGTTTTCCTTTTTGCATTGCTATTGACATCAGGCTTAAGCAACTTAACCTTTGTCCTACTAATATGTTTAAACGATAACTCACAAAGTGAGAAACCTGTTATTCATTGTGGGTTTGTTCTGTAAGAGAACATAAAATGTATAGTTGGTGTTGTAGAAAACAAAATGAAAATTATGACCTGGCTTGTTACCTAGCAAATACAAGTGAAAAGATCTCATTGCAGTCTGTATAATTTTCTCATGTAGCACAATTCAGTGCTGGGTGATATGGTAGTATTAGTGTTCGACTCCATTCTCTCCCTTCCAAGCCTTAACTTACATGCAATTTACATATCCTTTTCTCTTTCAACACCATTAACAACACCTTCGTCTTTTGCACTGGGTCTCTATACCATCTGTCCTCTTGCTTTTCCCCTGCCTCTGTTAAAAGAATAAAAAAAGACTTATTTCCAGCACCTTTCAGTTCTGAAGAAGTCACCCTGGACTTGAAAAGTTAACTGTTTTTCTCTCTCCACAGATGCTGCCAGACCTGCTGAGTTCCTGTAGCAATCACAGAGGAATTATTCTACCTGCCATATACATTGAAGGAGACTTTGGAATCTGTTGGACACTGCTCGTACATTGTCATCCATCCCTTCCGAAAGTCACCATTGACAAGAAGTTCCAACACTGGATCACCTGCACCAGTTCAGTCTTCTACAATCACGACTATATTTTTCAGCAAAGACCTCTGCAAGTCAACTAAACTCCTAATGTACAGAGTAGCTGTCATCACCACACTTCTATACTGTAATGAGACCCAGACTATGTATCACTGTCACACTAAAGAACAGGAGAAATTCCATCAACAATTTCTTTGCCACAATCAAAATTCATTGCAAAGGTTTTTGTTGGTATCCTTCTTGAACTCGGCATTCATGCCCAGCTCCTGCAAAAGCAATTTTGATTGATATTGTAACCAGATGGCCAAAGAGTGTACTGCTTTCCAGAGTCTGTTTTGTCAACCCTCAAATAGCCAATGTCTGGAAAGAATGAAAAAGAACACTTGAAAGTCTCTCTAAATGCCATCTGGTAGAACGGTAGCATTGAAATTAAAACTAGGAGGACGTTGCTACCAATTATTCAGAACGGCAACAATTTGCACACAAAGCTGCATCACACTTCGAATCCAAACATCTTAATGATTAAGTAGAGCGGCAGCAGAGACAGAAATAAAAATGAAGCCAATCCTGCACTCTGGGTCCCATTACCTGTTGGTTACCCCACGTGCCCAAAGATCGGTGGGTTGAGATTCATCCAAGGAATCATAACCCTGAGTAGACCTTCGTCCTTGAGTCGAGGGTGGTGTGATAAGTACAATATTGTACTCAGTCTGCACGTTGTGCATGTCAAAGAGTCAGCAAAATCCACAACACACGAAAACGCTTTTCAGCCCATCGAGTCTGCACCAGTCAAAATCTAATTCTAATCCCATTTTCCAGCACTCGACTCAAACGCATATACTGTTTCTGATGCGCTTATGTTAAATTCTTGGTATTAGTTAATGCATAGAGCTTCTATTGATGCACAGATTATTCCTGGGACCTAATGCTTGCATCTGCAGATTATCAGTGTTGCAAGATGCTTACTTAAGCAGTTAGTTAAGTGTGTTACCTCGATATTGGTATATAACGCATGTTTATCTCAGCTGATATCCATAATGAGGAACATTCCCTGAGCCAGTGTGAATATTATAATTGTAGTGTATTTTTTCAGATTTCCAGCATCTGACAGTCACTCTAGACAAATCTCTTTCAGGCCAGTGGCAGGGGCGCTGACGTCAAACGAAGCCAGCCCGCAATCTGATTGGCTGGGCCCGGAGTTTAGGGGCGGGAGTGACGGGGTTCAGAAATGTCGCAGCATTTCTCCAGCACGGAAAGGGGCTCATCGTGTCCATACCATTTATCCAGGCACCCAACTACACCATAGACCCGTGACTCCGACTTCGCTGGTGGGTAAGTTGTTGGACGTGACTCTGAAAGGATTCATTTGTATGTAGAGTGGCAAGGAATGATTAGGGATAAAAATCGAAAGAACAGTGGATGCTGTAAACCAGGAACAAAATCAGAAGTTGCCAGAAAAGCTCAGCAGGTCCGGCAGCATCTGTGAAGAGAAAATCAGACTTAATGTTTCGGGTCCGCAGACCCCTTCCTCAGAACTGATTAGGGATGGTCAGCGTGGTTTTGTGTTAGGGAAGTCGTGTCTCACAAACGTGATTGAGTTTTTTAAGGAAGTAAACAAGAGAGTTGATGAGGGCAAAGCGGTAAACATTATTTACTTGGAGTTTAGTAAAGCCTTTGACAAAGTTCTGCAATGTAGTTAGTCCAGTGAAGTTAGATCACATGGGATTCAGAGTGAGCTTGCCAACTGCATTAAAAAAATTGGCTTAATGGCAAGAGACAGAGTGTTGTTTTTCAAACTGGAGGCCTGAGACCAGCAGTGTTTCACAGGGATCAGCATTGGGTCCACTTTTGTATGTCATTTGTGTAAATGATTTTGATGAGAATATAGGAGGCATGGTTAGTAAATTTGTGATGATGCTAAAATTCATGGTATAGTGGACAGTGAAAAGGGTCATCTAAAATTCCACAGAGATCTTGATCAATTGCATCAATGGGCTGAAGAGTCGCAGATGGAATTTAATTTGGATAAATGTGAGGTATAGCATTTTGATAAAGTCTAAGACTTATACAATTAAAAGTAGGGCCTTGGACAGTGTTGTAGACCAGAGAGACCTGGGGTTCAGGTACATAATTCTTCGAAGTTTGCATCACATATCAATAGGATGGTTAAGAAGGCTGTTAGCGTGCTTGTCTTCATTGTGTAGACCTTTGAATATAGGAGTTGGGACGCTATGTTGAGGTTGTACAGGATGTTGGTGAGACTTCTTCTGGAGAACTGTGACCAGTTCTGTTCGCCCTGTTACAGGAAGGATATTATTCAGCTGCAGATGGTTCAGAAGAGATTTACCAGGATGTTGCTGGTAATGGATGGATTGAGTTATAAGGAGAGGCTGGATAGAGTGGGATCTTTTTCACTGGAGCATAGGAAGTTGAGGGGTGACCTTATAGAGGTTTATAAAATTGCAAGTGTCATTTCCCAAGGGTGGGAGATTTCAAGACGGGGGGCATATTTTTAAGGTGAGAGGAGAAAGATTTCAAAAAGACATGCGGGGCAATTTTTTAAAACAAAGTAGTTTGTGTGTGGAATGAACTTCCAGCGGAAGTGGTGGATGTAGGTACAATTGCAACGTTTAAAAGAAATTTAGATAAGTACGTGAATAAGAAATGTTTAGAGGGATTGAGCGACAGGGTGGCGCAGTGGTTAGCACTGCTGCCTCACAGCACCAGGGACTGGGGTTTGATTCCAGCCTTGGGTGACTCTCTGTGTGGAGTTTGCACATTCTCCCCTTGTCTGCGTGGATTTCCTCCGGGTGCTCCGGTTTCCTCCCACAGTCCAAAAATGTGCGGGGTAGGTAGATTGGCCATGCTAAATTCCCCATAGTATCCAGGGTTATTTAGGTTAGGTGGGTTAGACATGGGAAATGGGTCTGGGTGGGTTGCTCTTTGGATGGGCGGTGTGGACCTGTTGGGCCGAAGGGCCTGTTTCCACACTGTAGGGATTCTATGATTCTATGATATGAGCTAAGCACAGGTAAGTGGGACTGGTTTTAGTTTGGGATTATGATCGGCATGGACTAGTTGGACCGAAGGGTCCATTTCCATGCTGTATGACTCCATGCTTCGACTGTAATCCCATTTTCCAACTCTCGGCCCATAGCCTTGAATGCTTCAAATGATCATCTAAATACTTCTTAAATGTTGTGGTGGTTCCTGCCTTTCTTTTTGGCAGAGAGTACCAGATACTTACTAGAGTCTGCTTGAAAACATTCTTCCTTCAATCCTCTCTAAATCTCCTGCTCTTTAACTTAAAACTGCTCCCTGGTTATTCATCCTGCCATGAAGTGAAGACATTTCCTACCTATCCTATCTATGCCCCTCATAATTTAGTACACTTGCATTAGGTCCTCCCTCAGTCTTTTTTAAGGAAAACAACCCCAGTCTAGCTAGTATCTCTCCACAGCTGAAACTCTCCAGCCCAGGAAACATCTTGGTGAATGTCCACTGCACCCTTTCGAATGCAATCACATCCTTTCTATAGAGTAGCAGCCAAGACAGCACGGAGTACTCCAGATGTGGCATAACCAATGTTATATGTAGTACTGTCATAATCTCCTTGCTCTTGTATTCAGTGCCTGAGTTAATAAAGGCAAGTATCCCACATGCTGCCTTTACTGACTCATTCACCTACCTTGTTGCCTTAAAGGACTTGTAGGTCTCTCTGATCCTCTGGACTTCCTATGGTCGTAACATCCATTAATCCTAAAAAAATTACTTCACTCACTTCAGGATTAAATTCCATTTGCTGTTGTTTTGCCTGCCAATGACCCCATCTATGTTGTGCTATAGATTCCTCCTTGCAATTTACCACACCACCAATTTTTGTCATTAGTAAACGTACTGATCAAATCTCTTATGTTATCTCTCAATCATTAACATATACTATAAAGAGCAAGGAACCGCCACTAAACCATGTAGTGTGCCACTGGAAACCGGCTTCCAGTGCTTTAGGCAACCTTTGACCACTGCTGCTATGACAATTTTGAATCTAATTTGCTAAATTTGTCCTTGATCACTTGGGCTCTTACCTCTCAAGCAAGACCTTATCAAAGGCTATATTGATGTCCGTAGAGACTATATCCACTCTAACCCTTCTCCAGACATCTGCTTATCTTCTTGAAAAATTCACTCAAAGCTGTTAAACATGATCTCTCCTTGGCAAAGCCATGCTGACTTTCCTTGATTAATCCTTGCCTGTCCAAGAGGAGATTAGTTCTGTTCCTTAGAGTTTTTTTCGAATAATTTCCTTATCACTGATGTTAGACTCACTGGCCTATTGCTCTGGCATTTATTCCTTCTACCTTTTTTGAACAAGTGCCATATATGAAATAGCATTTGAAAATTAATGTCAGATCTCCTTCATTCTCCTTCCTGGCCTCCCAGAGTAGCCTGTTATATATTTCATCTGGATCTGGGGACTTAGCCGATTTTAGGCCCACCAAAACTGCTGATACCACCTCCTTCTCAATTACAATTTGTTCAAGTATATCCTTTTCTGCTTTCTATACCAACATAATTCTTCTCTATTACGCAGATGTAAAGAATACAGGTGCAAAATTCTGCCTCCGTCCATGGTTTGCCATTTAGATCCTCAAAGTGCCCTGGATTTTCCCTTGTTATTCTCTTTCCCCTAATATATTTATAGAATGCCTTTGGAGTTTCCTTTATTTTACCTGTCAGTGTTTCTTCATGCCCCTTGTTTGCTTTCCTATTTCATTTTATAAGTAAACCCTGCACTTTCTGTACTTCTGCAGGTCTTTTGGTATTCTGAGCCCCAGTATCTACTATAAGCTTCCCTTCTTTTGTGATCAAATCCTACCCATTGCTCAATATCTAAACTTCTCTGGAATACTTTGTTCTACTCTTTACCACCTTTACAGGAATATGTTGGCCCTGCACTTTCACTATGCCTTTTTGGAAGACTCCCCCTAATCTGGTAGAAATTTTCCTAAAAGTAGTAATCCACTTTGACCAGATCCTGTCTTACCCTATTAAAATCACCCTTCTCCCAATTCAAAGCCTGTATTTCTAATTTATCTTTGTACTTTTTGTCAAAAACAGTCCTTGACCAACAGCAGCTCTCTTTTGGGTTTTTTACAGCTTATTTAAAAAACTCTCCAATTTCATTTTAAGAATTCCACCTCCTGTCAGCCTGCCCAATCAGAGATGCACCTCTCCGTGACAGTATTGGTCAGAGTGACCACTGTGCAGTCGTTAATGAACAAAGTCTTGTCTTCATATTGAAGATACCCTCCATTGTGTTTCTATAACTATGACTTTGATACAAACTGATTAAAGACTTTGAACAGATCTAGCAACTCAGGACTGGGCATCCATAAGGTGGTGTGGGCCATCAGAAGCAGCAGAATTGTACTTCAACATAACCTGTAAATTTATGGCCCGGAGATAGCAAGAACTGCAGGCGCTGGAGTGAGCATCAATACAGTGTGGAGCTAGAGGAACACAGCAGGTCATGCAGCGTCAGAGGAGCAGGAAAGTTGATGTTTCAGCTTTAAACCCTTCATCAGGACTCTTATCAGGAGTCCAGATGAAGGGTGTAAACCCGAAATGTCGACTTTCCTGCTCCGCTGATGCTGCCCGACCTGCTATGTTCGGTCTGGTATGGCCCCCACTCTTCCATTATCATCAAGCCAGGGGATCAACCATGGTTCAATGAGGAGTGCAGGAAGGTATACCTGAAATTGAGGTGTTAATCTAATGAAGCTAAAACACAGGCCTACTTGCGTGCCAAAGGACTTAAGCATCAAGTGATAGAGCTAAGTGATTTCACAAACAGCTGCCGTTGTGGGATTTTAACTTGTCTCCCTGCGGTATTAGCTCTGGATTACTAGACTTGTGACATTACCACTATGTCACCATCTCCCTTAATGTTCCAAACATAGCTTGGATGACTTATATGTCTATTGATAGGCCATGATTTGCAGTATATGCAGGATTGTATTGGCTATGGGCCCAGACTACATTTTACTGATGGTACTGAGACTTATGCAGTAGAGTGAGCTGCGCCCCCACCTGAGTTGTTCCAGTAAAACTGTAACACTAGTATCCACCTGACAATGTGGAAAATTGACCATGTAAGTCCTGTCTACAAAAGCAGGACAAACCATCCTGACTAGTTACTGCCCCATAGGTCTACTCGCAGTGTTGAGCAAAGTTAGAGGAGTTGTTGACAACACTATCAAACATCATTTACTGAGTAATAACTTGCTCACTGACACTGAATTTGGGTTACTTTAGGGCCATTCAGCTT